AGGCCGGCGGCCTCGCCCCGTCCCCCGCGCCCGCGCCCGAGCCCTCGCAGCCCCGCGCCAACCTCACCAACCAGTTCGTGCAGCCGCCCTGGCGCATCGCGCTCTGGTCCCTCGCCTACGGCGCCGTGGTGGCCGTGGCGGTCTTCGGGAACCTCGTGGTCATCTGGATCATCCTGGCGCACAAGCGCATGAGGACCGTCACCAACTACTTCCTCGTGAACCTGGCTTTCTCCGACGCCTCCATGGCCGCTTTCAACACCTTGGTCAACTTCATCTACGCGCTCCACAGCGAGTGGTACTTCGGCGCTAGCTACTGCCGCTTCCAGAATTTCTTTCCCATCACGGCGGTGTTCGCCAGCATCTACTCCATGACGGCCATCGCGGTGGACAGGTGAGCGCAGGCGGGCGGGGGAGGGGAGGGCCGGGCGCGTGCGGCCGGAGGAAGGGAGCCGGCGGCGGCCAGGAGCCTTGGGTAGCCCTCCCGGGGCTGCGCCCGGCTGCTTCCGTGGCCTGTCCCCCCAACCCCGACCCCTTGATCCCCACTAAGGGCGTCTGGAGGGACTGAAGGAGGCGAATGCGGGAGATGGGGACATCTGTCATCCCAGCTGGGATAAAGTCACCTAGAAACTCTTAATACTAGCACATTTCTCAAATGGCTTCCAACAACCGCAGCAAAACTTATGTGTGTGTGAAATGTACTTTTTGGCCTTTCATCTCTCTGTCAGAGAAAGGGGAGAGCGGTCCCCCACCCTTCCTTCTGCTCTCTGGTTTGCTGGGCCACACCCCCACCCATCACCACACTCCCCAAATCCTAATCCCAGGGCCAGCCCTGGTTTGGCCGCCCAGGCATGGAGCATCCATCCATCCATCATCCATCCATCCATCATCCATCCATCCATCATCCATCCATCCATCCATCCATCCATCCATCCTTCCTCCATCCATCCATCCATCCATCCATCCATCCATCCATCATCCATCCATCATCCATCCATCCATCCATCCATCCATCCATCCATCCATCCATCCGAGGCAACAAACTCCCTCCCAAAGGCTGCCACCAGCCAGCAGCTTCCACAGTGTCTCTGGTTCGATTTCTCTCCCTGTAATCTGCAGAGACTGAGTTGGGTGAATCCTGTGCCTTGAACATTGCATCCAAATCTTTCCCATAAGGAGCAACCATGAACTCAAGGAATAAATGGTTAGAGAACAGACTGACAGCCAGCAGACAGAAGGGGGGTTGGTGGGCTGGATAGAAAAGGTGAAGGATTAAGCAAAGGAAAAAAAAACCAACCTCATAGACACAAGACAACCATGTGGTGATTACCAGAGGGAAAGGGGGTTGGGGGTAGGTGGAAGAAGGTAAATGGGGGGTAAATGGTGACAGAAGGACACTTGACTTGGGGCGGTGGTGAACACACAACACAATATACAGATGATGGATTATAGAATTGTACACCTGAAACCTATATCATTTTATTAACCAATAGCACACCAATAAATTCAATAAATATTTTTTTTAAATGAGACACACTAATTTATAGCTGTTTAAGATAACTTTTTAGGTTGTTCCCTTATCTACAGTGGAGATTCTGAGATATTCAAACAATTTTAAAAAGCTGGGTAGACCTCCAACATTTGTTTTCATATTTAAGTTTTTTAAATTTTTTGTGTGCATTAGTGTTCTTATATTGAACATTATGAAATATGCATGCTTGTGTTAGGACAATGGTAAATCCCCACCTGTTATTGAAGCTGGTTACACTTTAATTCAACATCATGCTAAAAAAAAAAAAAAAGAACCACACCAGTTGATGCCAGCCTTGGTTTTGTGCATGGGGGATACAGCGGAAGGTTTCACTGTAACTTCAAGTCTCAATATTCTCATCAGTGGAAAGAAAAGAGCACTTTTTTGACATTAAGAAGCCTGTGTCAAAATAAAATGAGGCTTAATAATTTTTACTACATTAAGCCACCATTATAAGAAAAGAACAAGTTCTTTCCATAAGTCTACCCTTTGTGTTTATTTGAAATAGTGAGCACAGAGGTGCTGCTAACATCTTTAGAAACTTTCAAATGCCAGACCCAGAGGGTTAAACTGAAGGAGCAGTGCTTAGTTGCCACTAACTAGGAGAAATCAGCACAAAATCACATTTTTTACAGCCTCTGAAACTGTCAATCATCGTTTCTCCTTTATTGCTGGTCTCCCACATGTCTCAACCCTTCATTTTTGTAGGGACAGAAATAAAAAGCAACAAAATCAGTCCCCAAAGGGGAGCAGGTAAAATTGTTTCTAACCTTCCTCTACCAAGACAGAAATGAATGTTGCTTTGGTTTGAGCATCTTTTTTATTGTTCTTTCTTTCTTTCTTTCTTTCTTTCTTTCTTTCTTTCTTTCTTTCTTTCTTTCTTTC